GTGTTCCTAATTTGGAAGCAATAAGAGACAGGCCCAAGGGAGTCCAGAAACCCATAGGAACATCCAGGAGCTTAACCCATATAGGCATAGTGGCAAAAGATTTACAATTCCACATAAAGTCCTTTTCAGGGATTTTAAACATCAGCTTCTTCCTGTTAATGGTGATTTCTTCCACAGGCTTTGTCATAACAACTTGTCTGTGTTCTTCTGTCGAAAATTTCAACACAATCCATCCTCTATTGTGTGGTAGGATTTCACAAGGTACTCCCCAGCCATCCACCATCTTCTGAATAGCCTTAAGTCCAGGAAATTTTCCAGCAAAACAACCTATCAGGCAGTATCCCCAAATGTCTTCAACTCGGAGGATAGCTTCTTTGGGTATAAAGACCTCCTCTGTATCAGGCAGGTCTACCTTGAAGAGCTGCATCCCTTGTTTCTCGCCCCTGTTGTTCTTGAGTAGATCAGCATACGTCTTTTTGGGAGGTGGTTCAGGCATTTTCTCAGACACCTTAGGGGTGTCTTTACTTTGTTCCAATAGCTTCTCACGCAGCACCTTCTCTACAGCTTCTTCGTCCACAGATTGGGATTCGGATTTGTTCTCAGAGGAATCATCATCCTCACATTCTTTATCACTTTCCATCTCACATTCAAGCTCATCATTCACTGATTCATTTTCATCACAAGAATTCTCAGACTCCAAGGTGTCACAAGTTACCTCGTCATCCACCTTCAACTCCGGAAGCTTCTTCTTCGGTGGAGTTGGGGGTGTGGGCTCTTTCCTGGTCTTCTTCCCCATCACAACTCAAGAGAACATACTGACCTAAAATGGGAGAGGAAAGAGCGCCGAAATGCAGAACCCTAGCAGCAATGACTTCCAAAACCCAACGGAAATGGAAGGAACCACCAATGAGGAGAGGCGTCTTGATGAGGAGAGCACAAATCTGACCTTGAAAGAGGACGAAACCACCAGAAGAACAGCAAAGATGAACGGCAATGGTGACGAGCTACAGTAGCTCGATCGCCAGAGAGAGAAAGTCTCGACCGAACATTGAGAGCTCTTTCATTGAGAGCTCTTTCAAGGGTAAAATGTAAATTATTATTACCCCAAATCAGAACGGTACATCAATATCATATGCTGAACCATAGAAATGGTTCCGTGCATGTAATGAATACAAAAACAATACATACAACAGTACAACAACTTGGCACGCAGGCCATACAAATAAACAGTCAAAACGATCATCAAGGTGGTCAAACACAACAACTAGTAATCCCCGTCCGGGCTCTTGTGGACCTTCCAGTACCTCGCAACACCAGGCAGTAGTATGGTAGACCAAACCAGAGCATGGAGGGAGTATATGTTGGTGGCATCACAAGCCAAGCACATATACTCCCTCTCCAAGGACTCAATCTCACGAACACGTGATCCATCATCAACATCCAAGGTACTTCAAAAATCAATCCAAAATGTGTGTCATCCATCAAAACCATCCAAGGCAGGTGCTCAGTTATTTTTGCCAAAGATTCAACCAGTAAGCCAGGGGGCCCATCCCCGAATGCCAGAAGTTGTCCACCATCGTCATGAAGGGCAAAGTCCAAAGTGACCCCACTCTGCCATACAGACCCCTCCCCTAGGTCTACAGCTAGAGTGCCCCCCAGGTATTTGGAAAGCATCCCCCAACAGACGAAGTAGAAGTTCACTAGTAGTCTCAAAAGCCTTCATCTAGTATTGCCCTCGGTTGAGTTCAGAAACAACACGTAGATAGGCAAGACCCAACGAAAACAACCTCCTCGACTCAAGAAAAAGCCCAGTTAGCTAGAAGATCCACTTAATAGCCAAGATAGCCCAAAGTTTTCCAAAAACCCCAACCGAAAGGGTCAGGAAGAAACTAAGGGCGGCCTGCCAGGAGGACCAAACTGGAAAAAGTAAACGTCAGACCCATCTCAAAATGAATTGGGATTCCACCAGAAATGAGGCCAATCCAAGTGTAAAAACAGCCATGGTTCCACACTCCATCCCACAAACACAAGTCAAAGCGCCAAAAGATATCCACAAAATCATCATTGAGAGCTCTTTCAAGATTCTATGGGTGGTGGTGCATGGCCGTTCTTAGTTGGTGGAGCAATTTGTCTGGTTAATTCCGTTAACGAACGAGACCTCAGCCTGCTAACTAGCTATGCGAAGGCATCCCTTCGTGGGCAGCTTCTTAGAGGGACTACGGCCTCTTAGGCCGCGGAAGTTTGAGGCAATAATAGGTCTGTGATGCCCTTAGTTGTTCTGGGCCGCACGCGCGCTACACTGATGTATTCAATGAGCGTATAGCCTTGGCCGATAGGTTCGGGTAATCTTTGAAATTTCATCGTGATGGGGATAGATCATTGCAATTGTTGGTCTTCAACGAGGAATTCCTAGTAAGCATGAGTCATCAGCTCGCGTTGACTACGTCCCTGCCCTTTGTACACACCGGCCGTCGCTCTTACCGATTGAATGATCCGGTGAAGTGTTCGGATCATGGTGATGTGGGTGGTTTTCTGCCCGTGACGTTGCGAGAAGTCCATTGAACCTTATCATTTAGAGGAAGGAGAAGTCGTAACAAGGTTTCCGTAGGTGAACCTGCGGAAGGATCATTGTCGAACCCTCGCGGTAGAATGACTTGCTAACCTGTACCAATTATTGATTCGAATGTCTGGGTGCCGTCTTTCTGATT